ATATGGCTGGATCGTAGGCCAATCGTTTGGTCTGAGACAGAATTTAAAATAATTATTCGTTGTATTTAATTTTTTCAGCTCTAGTTAGCTCCTTGCGCGTTCTTGTGCTAATCATTATGCTTACCTGAACAAACAGACTGCAACAGCTGGACGCCGCCATATCAGGGAAGAGAGTCACAGCGCGTTTAGAACGGCGGCTAGATGGCGCGAGACATACCAGTCCGAACCTAGGCCGGAGAAGCAACGGTCCTATCTAACGCCCACTCCCCACTTCATGCAAACCCAATTAACTACACAATGTGAGCCAAACTTCGATGATCTGGGCTTAACAATCGACGAAAACTGAATCGAATCGCTACCTGTTATTATACGTACTTTATACAGAATACCGTACGAACTTCAGAGCTGAGTAATACCATAATAAAATTTGTCACAATTCTGTTTAAACTATGTTATAAAGGAACTTGATTCCTCAACTGCTACTAGACTTGTTGAAGCAAAGCCGTTATTCAGCTCGGCTCGCCTCTGTCGACCAGATTTATAATCGCCTACGACCACAATTTACTCTCTGGCGCAGCGACGTACCGACGATCCACGGTTACGACAAGTTGATTTCTTTTTCGTTCCGTCTACGCCTTAGCAGAACATCATTAAGCGTTCCATCAGTCCGTTTGCCTCGATGCACGCCTTAACTGCTGCTCGCTTTGCGTGCAAATTTAATACGTCACTTGATTTCGCGGCAGCAGAGCTAGGGGCAAACCGGAAAGAACTAAATGTGAGAACGGCTACGGAGTAGAACGCTAGCCGACACACGAAAGGCTTAAGTGCCGCCACGCTGCGCCACCATGCCCGCGTGTTATTCTCGCCTTTATGCCCGCCGGTTGAACGAGCTGTTTCGAAGGCTGACAGGTTGGCAATAGCCGCCAGCAAGCGTATCTTTTGCTCAGTCAAAGCGGCGGTAGGACGATCCACTCGGTTCCTTTCCGAGCTTGCCTAGCGGGCTCAGGGCTAGAACACATATCCTCAAGACGGTGTGTTTATCTGAGTGCTACCAGATGAATCGGGCTTACTCAAAGGGGGAAGAAGTCTAGCGGGAACAACTTCTAAATTTACACAGCCGCCAGTAAGGTGACGATGCCTGGGGCGCTTTCGGCCGTACCAGTCGACCACTGCTACGTGAAGCTGCCTTAGAACGCCCAGCAAGCCACCCACTTTGAGGCTTTCGTTTATGCTGCGCGTAGCGTGGCCACCCCCTGCCCCTTCCATCCAGGCCCCTTAGCTTAGGCTAAGGGCTCAACGGCTTGGCGTGAACGAGCATCAAGTTAAAGGCCTTGTCTGCCATTGTCCGCTCCGATTCCACCCTACTAAACATACAATATTTAACAGCGATCCTATGCAACACTCAGGACGTTTCAGTGCCGGGCGGTCTTATACGACTGACCCCACACGGCAGACCCAGCTCCAAAAGATCGTTGTTCTCAGAAGCAGTAAGTTTCGAAAACATACATGATCTAGGAAAGAGATGTGGAACACCTCTTAGAGGCGGAACATCCACACCCAATACCATCAGACCGTAAAAGCGCATCAGCCTTATGACCCAAACCCTCCAATAATAAGTTAAGACCTGCGCTTGATATAGAACCAGTGGCTTGAAGAAATTGTCGGTATTGACACCGCAATCTGCTTAGCCTACTCCTTCTCATAAACAATTGTTATGCACTGAACTCCCATGCACAGCGTTCTTGTCTTGAATGATCTCGGTGAGGTTTGACATGTGTGCACATACGCACCTGAAGACTGTAGGTATCAACAAGAACAGCACCAACAACAAAAATAATCACAACAATGAGATGCTTGGCTTCGTTGTTTATAGTCGATAATAAGTAGATTATTAATGGTTTATAAGGTATGTTAAATCTAATTTAGACCTCACTATTTCTATTTTTATATACGTGTATATATATATATATATATATATACGTATATGATTTTAATTGTTTTCCATGAGGTGAATTCCCGCCGAAACGTTTCATGTAGTACAGCTATCGCTGGCTTCCATTGCGCCTCCATTCTTGGTCAAAATAAAAAAATAAACCTGCTCCAAGAATGCTCTTCTAAAATTAAGGGAAGCCGTTGTAACAACTGCTTCGAGTAGTCACAACTGGTCCAGACTGTCTTTCAGAACAACCCCTATATGAAAATATCTAACAAGCTTTAGCTTAGCTGTTCGCAGGCTAAAAGTCCAAAAAAATTAAACTGTCGAAGGATCTCAAAAGATCCAATAGGCCTAAACAACTCGATCCAAGGTGGATACATATTTCTCCAAGATAGTTTCTAATTTCTCCATCGGACTCCTAAAATTGTCCAAAATAATTGCTGTACGTTTTTAATAACCACCGGACTTCCTTCAGCCTAATCCCTAGGATTTGCTTTAAGATGTATAAAGACCGGCAATGGCGCAACTAGTCGATTTCGAGCAGCCGCGGAAGTTAAGTCTCACGAACTGCATTTCCAGCTTGCACGTTTTCGTCAAGGCTTCACTGGTGTTTAGCTAGCGCATTTTATACTCGGAACTTCAATATTCAAATTACGCAGGCCTAACCGACCCAGTCCGATCTATGGGAACCGTTTTTAATGTCCTTTAAATCTAGAAGCTGGCCACGTTTTTTTACCTCTTAGAAATGCTACGCACATACGTCATATGAGTCTGAGCTATATTTAAACTTGGTAATATGAACGGTGTAATGTCTGATCGCGAGCAGTATTTCCCTATCGCTATATAATCTTCATCGACCTGGTCCAGAGCAGTCAGTCGTCAAATGACGGATGTAAGTATGGCCTGAGCAAAGTGAATATAATAAATACCGCTCACTACAACAATAAAATATAGCTTATGCCATTAGATCGTTTGAGAAAGATGGAAAGAACCTTTTACACTTCGTTCGTTCAAGTTTCTCTGTCCTTCATCTTTTGCTAAATTAAGCGTTATATACAATTTAAAAACCTTTTCCTTACTGTATGTCTAATTTTCCAAACGTTTCCTCTATCATCATTTTTCTTTCGTTCTATCTTCACGATTATTCTTTAAGGATATTCTGTATTAGAATATAGATTCCAAAATAACCTTTTTATAACTTTTTATAAAAAGGTTATTTTGGAATCTATATTTATAAATAACATTTCGAAAAAGGATACATCCACTCTAGGGACTCTCGTCGCAAGTGAAATTTTCATTTTTATAACAAAACGATAACAAAACGTGGACAAACACAAACGCACACAGTTTCACTTCCAGGGGTAACCTATCGCTAAAAATCACTGTCATCTTAGACGACAATGATTTTTTTAACCCATTAATATTTTCAGCAAGCAATACTGTATTTATTTTGTACGATGGTTGATCCAAACGTGTTGATTGTCGCTTTGCCAGTAGAGCAGTGTAACGTAAACATTTCACAATAATCGTTCCAAAAAATGCCACCCAAAACAACGTAAACGGAACTTCAAAGGCTAGTCGTTTGACAATCGAAGGCTTATCGAAACAAAATAATCATAAGAATACATATAAATCCTCATCAGCGAACCTACAAGCCTTCTCGACGCCTTCATCAATTTATTGAATATCGTGTTTTAATAAACAATAATAAATAATATATAGTTTTCAAATGAAGAACTTGAGGGGCGTACTAAAGACATTCATTTCGCTTTGTTCGTGCTATCGAAGTTTTCATTACTCAAACGTGTCTCTTATCGACGTTTACTTTTGGTAGTAGTCATCTCAACGGGTGACTTTTTATTCTACACACAGCCTTCGTCCGTTCTACGAGATAGGTATGTGATTTGCTGTACAAATAAAATCTACCATTAGATTTCCGTGTGAAGTATTTTTATTTTATACTTAGCTTAATTATTTTAGGGATTATTATTTAGTCTCATTGAGGAATAATAATATGCATAAAAGCTTCATAAAGTATCCACAAGATATATACGCCATCATATGTTGTTTGGCGCTATCTTATATGCTTTTGAATAGATTGTAAATTCGAGTATAGGCTTTCTTATGATTTGGAGTTAAATAATAGATCAAAACACTTCTTTGTATAAACTTGGAGAAATTCCCGTAATTTCGTGAATGAAGACGTACTAGACGTGAAGAAGCAAACGTGAAATGATTGCTCAGTCGTTGTTCTTTCAAAAATGCCTTTGCAAAAGATCTAAGGCACATTCAACATCGGATGTGTAGCACAGATCTTCAGTGGAGCTGCGTACTGTTCTTACTATTTACGTCTATCCCCGAAAGAACGGACTGAGCCCTAAACGTGTCCATAATAACGGACGCAACCAAGAAAATTAGCTAAAGAGAGTGCAATGAGTGCAAGCAAGTTTTCAGCTGCACGGCCTGATACGCTTATTTGGAAAGTGACGGCACTTCTTATAAAATGTAATGCACTCATACATCATTCTTATTGACCGTCGTACCTTAATGCCAAAATTTCTATTTCAGCCATGCCTGCATGTTAAAAAGACCAAGTGACTATTTTCCCAACGTGCCCTCATATGAACGTATGCTTGTTCATTATCATTTGCAATAGAAATAAATGTTAGAGCAGTGTTTTTTTGAAACGACACCCTAAATTGGAGTTTTACCAGGCATTAAGTATTTCCTTCGGTCCAGAGAAAAGTCATCTTACTCAGTGGTGCTTCAGATGACGCCTGATTGGTTCTGCTTCTGCGCATACCACTATAAATATGACGTGACAACTTACGGGGTCCGTTGTCGGTATTCGTTATGTGTAGGCGTTAACCCTCGTTAATCACGTTCTCCGTGATTACGCTAAAATAGCGTTTTTAATTTACTGAACGAGAGAATCTTTTGACCCTATAATTTGACCGCGTATAGTGAACTATAAAAAAGCTGATCGTAAATAAGAGTATTTCGTTGCAGTTCACTGCAGCAACATGCAAAGCACAACGCGTCTATACAACGGACATTTGCTCACCTGTAATATTCGACCATCGATTTTCGTCGGACACAAAACACTGTGCCCAGACCAAACCCATCGGGTGGGCGAGAGTTCGAATTTCTTCTGGGATGGTTGTGATAGCCAGGTGGAGAAGCGAAGCTCTTTGAAGCACGATGGTGCCGATGGTAACGCTCATGGTTAAATTCACTAGGGTCAGAGCCTTTACGCCGTAGGCTGAACACCTCACCATCATAGACGTGATACTCCGGATGGCAGCTTAGATGCTTGGCAATTTTTGTCAGAATGCCCGGAACACTTGAATTTCTTTCGAATGTGACCGTCCTACTTGAACGTCGTCGACTAGCGCTACTAGACGCCATCTTTGCCTACGAAGAAATGAGATGGGGGTGGGAATATCTCTGCTTCCTTGTGCTTTTCAAAGTAAAGGCTGTACAGCACTATTGTTGTAGTGTGCATTCGAGCGTCTTTTTTGCACATAGGAGGAATAGTGGTTTTCGTCCCTCTCCAACCCGCTCTTTACTTCTGTTTAATCTATACGTTTTGTGTCCTGTATGCGATTTGATCTGCCCCACGCCGGCTTCGCTACGGGCTTTTGCAACCAGATACACTTTGTTGTTATCCGCTGTGTAACTTACTTAGCATCTCGAGAGAAACCAGCACAACAAGCTAACCGTACGTTGCACCAGCGTCGCACAAAGCACGTGTGACAGTTGTCATTCACGCCTGTACCATTATGGAGCCAAAAGGCTGTATAAAGCTGAAGTGATCTCTTTAATAAAACGACCTAATGAAAGATTCTGGACCATAAATGCGTTTATCCACTCAACGATGGGTAGCGGTGCTAGCTTTTCGATTTGACATTTCGCGTCGTACCCGAGCCTTTCGAATCTACGGGTGTATGTTTGTTGAACACGCGTTTATCTACTTCGTGCGAATGTTTGAAGGGTGCTGATACCGTCACCTTATACCGGTCCATCTTTCAATACAGTTTTTCTGCAGAAACATTTTTTTCCATATCACTTCTAACTAGACTATCTCTCCCGACTGACACTTATCTTGGGTTCTGCGATAGTAATTTATTCGCTCGAGGCCCAATATGCTCGAATCAAACATTCCAAGGCAGTACTTCTAATCTCTTCCTGGAATCGCTCACTTCACTTCTCGAGTTAAGGAGGGCTTCATTCCTCACTTTTGTCTATCTGTCGATGGTATAGCTATCCAACAACTGGGAGGGCTTTCCCCACATCGATTGAGGGTATCGCCCGACAGCCCTTAGAAACGACATTTTCGGATTTCCTTATACTCCACTGGAAAGAAGATTTTTCTTTCCAGTGGAGATTTGTAGAAACATGAAATCTACAGCGGGAGACAGAAGGAAGCTTCTGCGGATCTGAAGTAAGCTGAGCACTCACAATACACTGTGATTTCAGATGACTTTATCCTAGGCCAGAAGAAAGTGGACGGTAAGAACGTGAGATTGTGGTAGAAACATAAGCCTAACACCTACATGGTTAAGCACACTCTGAAGTAATAGTCTGCACCACGCAGATGATCGCATACATTTTTCCACTGCTAATAGCTGTTCCGAATAATTCCGTACAGGCACATAATTTACTATTGTGATAATAAGCACATCTGAGGTTGTTTCGGAGCAGGTGTTCAATGCAACACACACGAGTTTTTGTGAAGTAGTATTAGAGAGTAACATCGTCGTGTTATTAATGAGAACAACTTTAAGAAAAAGTTTAACATAGCTTTTTTCAGTTTAACATAGCCTTTCAGATTGTTCGCTTTGCCATATGCTTATATGGGATTTTGTGGGAACAAACTGGCAGAGTATGTCCAATTTCCTGACGATTCTGCAACCCTAAAATGTCAAAGGCCTCAGACTCGTTCCAAAATGAGCTGGTTGTATATCGCTCGGAGTTTAAGGGACCGATGCAGGTGAGATCGTGACGTGATACATACTGGAGCTTCTTTGCATGTGTCTGGTTAGGTAGCTCAGTGATGCTGAATAGTGGTCTGAGGTAAGGCAAATTGTGTTTTGGAAAGTGCGAGAGTACCCTAGCGACGCAGCGACTGGTACGGCCTGTATCCGACGAGCCCCGCGAAATTCTAGGATCCAACAAGTATTCCCACTGCCTCCCTCTACTCCTTTCAGTTGCGGCCGGCTTGCCAACTATGTACGGGCTCAGTGCTCGCGTGCGACGAGATCCCCACACAGTGAACAACATAGGCTAAAAATACGTACCACCACCCCTGAGTGCGCGCAGCTAGGTTTCGACCTTACGGAATACCGAGCCTCCAGATATACCTGCTTCCCACAGCCAATTGTATGGTGCTGGTCATCACTTTGGACAAGTTATCCCTTCCATTCCTAAGAACTCCTAAGAAGCAGCAGCAATGGTCTATTGCAGCAGATTAGCAAAGCTAGGACAAAGTGCAAATGTGTTACAACTTCATTTGAATAAGCTTAATGCTGATTGCCAAACGTGGTCCATAAGATTGGCGGCGAACAAAAGCCGCCACAATCTGCGCTGTTACGTGTCCACATTCATAATGAGGTTGGACGGGATTACCTTTCGTTTACATTGTTTGTCGGATTATAGTAAAATGCAGTCACATAGAACAGATATCGTTTGTAGTTTTCTCTGTAACGATTGGTGCTGCTTTTTACTTTTAGAAGTATTTTGTTTACCAATGAGTCCCATTACGAAATTGTGTAATAGAGACTAATCCCTAACGGACCTAAATATATTTGTTACGTACACATACGGTACGTATCCCCTTCCTCAAGAACGTTTTCTACAGCAAACTACAAGATAGGTGGGCAGTTTTAACTGCTGAAGATGAAAATGGCAGCTTACAGTATTGTTATTATGAAAACATACTGGTATTAGTGCTAGCCGTTTACCGAATTATCCCAGTTGAGATTCAATGATTCTTTTAGGCTAAAATAAGTACCACCGCGCAATCATATTTGATTTGTGTGAATATCGTCGAAGCGTTCCTCAGCAATTCATTGGTTCGAGGCGCTTTGAGAGAGTGATGATACTGACATTTTTAACTTTTGCAACAAAATTATCCCATTAAGACAACTTTCGCTGCTTTCAAGGTTTTCGACCGGCTATCAGCAACGCCTTAAATACTTTAATTAATGTAGAAGTAAACTGAATTGATAGATGATTTATGAAGACCTATATATATATATTGGGACCCCTTCAAATTTAGAGGGACAAAGTACTGATTTTTTCTACCATATATATTAAACTTACAACCATTACTAAACCACTACTTGAGGTTCATGCTACTACTAGAAAGGATATATATTCTTTCTTGGACAAGAAGAATTATACTTACTACATGAAAAACTGCCCGGCCCACTCAGCGGATCGAAAAACCTATCCAGCTTTAAACCGTCAGGGCATGAAATTTTGGTATACATAGCATATACCCCCCCCCCCCCCCGTCTATTGTGTATATATTCGTATGTTAACGGTCTGGAAACTTCTCAGCAACTGTGTATCTGCGATTCATATTGCCATATCGAACCTCGGTGTCGTGGTCAAAATAACCAACAACTGAATAGGCTACACTAAGGCATAAAACTAATCACAATCACCTAGGCCTAAAAAATAAGAATATCTGAATTATAATAAAAAAATACCCTTGATAGTCATTATGACGGTGGGCATCAGTTTGTATCCGAATCTATTCAATACTACCTCCGAAATCGCCTTCTGTTCTGTTGGTATCATTCTTTGATTCTATACTCGTGGGCGACACAGACTGACCCTTGTTTCGTTTACGGCAATGGTTTGCTCCAAAATACCGAAGAAAAGTTATCTTTATGGTACACCACATAATCTCTCCTCGACTCAGTTCTGGTATTTTTTGTTTGTTTTCAGTGTGTTTATTAGAATTCAGTTTAAGCCGACAGGAAGCTCATTCTTCATGTGCTCCTTTACGCAAAAACTTTCGCGATCTTATTTCATCGGAAGTCTTAAGCTGTGATCAAATCTTCTGTGGTCCTCAACCACTCGGTTTTTCCTCTTAAACTAATTTCATCAGTGAGTAGACCATTTTATTAAGTGTTTTTATACATTTTTAATGGACTCATAGAGTGTGCCAATTTTCGAGGAAGAAAAAGCTTTGATTTCCTTTTCCAAACGATATTTTGCCTTCAAATCCATCGTTTTCTGATGATATTTAGTTAAAGTTTACCGCGCATCTTCACGCAAATCTTTCCTTGATCCCTTCTGCTAATGATGCATAGTTTAAAGGTTACTCAAAGTATGCGAGTGGCTTAATAAGTAAATTAATCGTTGAAAAGATGTGGTGATAAAAGTAGCGCTTTTCTAATGCTAGAATCAATTCTCTCTATGGAGAAATCTCTATGAAAGCTCTCTATGTATACATAGTTTTCAAAAAAATAACCTGCCACAGTTAACCTCAATTCAGATCGACTTTTTTTTTTTTTTTTTTTTATTTACTTGAGTTATTCGCTGCAGTTTTTCTTTTTCAGTCGAGACAAGATTATTAATAATAGTGATTCGGTGTCCGTTGTTTTTATGGGAAAATAAAGCTGAGTGCGCTTCAATCTAAAAGTATCATTGCCGTCTGTTACGTGAGAATATACTTGAAATAGCTTTCTGGGGACATTGCGCTCACGTCCGGCCGAATTTGTTGATAAGAAAATCTTCAGATTGCTGCAAACAACGCCAACAAAAGGGTTGAACTACTTCAGCCGGGATCTCATGAAATTGGTGCACTAAGGCTCATAATATTTATTCTGAATTGAAACTGGGATGGAGTACACGGATGAAGGAAACGTCTTTGGAGGCCTACGCAGCACAATCAACGGTAATCGTCTCTTCGGGTGTAGGTTAGAAAGCTTTCATTAACATAGTTGTGACGACACTTGCAAATTGTGGGATAATCTATATAGTCTGAGTACCACGTTGGAAATTTTTCCCGGCTGAAGTCAATGAGCCAGTTTGTTGTAATATAGGCTGTTTTTACCGTTAAGGCTATTACGCTGTCATTCAAGGCTAGGTTACTATGTGTAGAGAGTACTCGGCTAATGAAAACGAGAAAGCGCGCACCTTATTGCTCCCGTAAAAGTATCTTAAGAGTTTTAACAGCCCGAAGCTCTGAGGCCTTTCTGGCCAAGAGTCGGTCTAGGGAAAAACTTTTTTAATCTATGTCCATATTTGCAGCGTTAAATAAAAATGCTTATAAACTTGCTTCCATTTAGCATATGCAATACCGCCGATCACGCCGGAATTGTAAAATATTCGGGATACTTACCACAAGACGGCCTTGATTCGTCGTCCTCATGTCGTATTCTTCGGTGCGTGTCTTTCTCCATTCAATAAAACCAGCAATTAAATTATTGATAGTCCGGGTTATATAGATAGCAAAAGTCACATCGTTGTCCAGGTTGACAACTGGAGGCCTCTTCTAGAAATGCAATTGGTTCTAGCATGATAAACCACTACACTGAAGTAATAAACCAAAGTGGGCAAAAACAATCTTTAAACGCCACCAAGGTAGCGGTTTTCCGCCCGTTACGGAAAAACAGCCCTTAAAACAAATTCATACCGTAGTAGCGTACCTCATAATAAAGTTACCATCGGTTGTACGCAGTACTTGTGTCAATAACAACGCCATACATCGCCAAATATTTTCCTTGTTCCTACTCAAGCTCAAGGCACGGGGTTTTGATCGCCAAACCCAAACTTACCGTTGTTTGTGGCTTTCTAATGATTAACTGATAGATCTCACTGAACCAAATAACTACGAATATCATATAAACGAATTTAGTCGCAGTTAAAATGATCATACTTTTTCTCTACTCAACACGTCCTATGTACACACAAGGATGAATTTGTAAAAAGCGTAATCCGAATTTCTTAAAGATGCACGTCATCTTAAACCTACGCTGCTCCATTGATGTCTGCCCTGAAAAGGCTGCAACGACAGCTGACAGTATTTTACAAAAAAGTGTTTTGGGTCAACTTTACTGGCAGAGAAACCACTCTATTCCATTCTTGAATCTACCGACATGTCATGCTCAGCAACTTATTAGCTAAAAGCATTTAGAGAATTGTCAAATCTCGTGACACGCGAGGCCATCGGGCGTTTAACAACAGAAGATGCTGTAGCCAGAAATAGCCTTAAATACAATGCAAGGCCCTAACTAATTAAATCTTTGTGATTGAATGTTGAATAGCGTTAACGTACGACGGACAGCTCGGAGCTGAATAGGCATTACCCGCTGCACAATTTGTAGGTTAGATAATTTTGCTGAGGTATCTGAATGACCACCTAGCTAGATAACGTTTACTTACGTTCAGTTCTTAATACACTTTCAGAACAAATTTCACCGCTAGCCGTCTGCAACTAACAATTGTTTTATTACTATTTACCACCCTATTGTGTTTCAAACTCATCTGTATGAATTTAGCGCGGGAAAAGTCCCGCCAACAGCACATACTGCACAGTTATACTATGAAAAAAGTGGTAATAAAAACGGAATATTTCAAACGGGCCCGAAACCCGCAACCCGAAAACGTACTCAGCATAGAAAAAAAATCATTTCATTTTGTATACATTGCAAACTCAACTATACATTGAATAAGGTACGTGGTTGGTGCGTACGCCCCACCTTGCAGCCACGTTATCTGCATATCCGTTTCTCTAGCACTGCTAGTAAATGGTAGCACTTCTCCCTTAATAAGAGTTCTGTTTACCTTTCGCGTGGGGCCTTATGTGCTAGGACGCGGCCCTGACCTATGTCGTGCGTCTATTCTCTTGTGGGAAAGATCCGCCTGAAAACTTCCCGCGATTCGAACACGTAACTTAAGCAAAACTAGCTTTAATACAACCTCAGTCATCACCATCATATAACTTACCTCGACTGCATCTCGAGTTTTAATCAAGTCAAAGGTATACTAATAGCAAAACACGTAAAGTACTCAACCTTAATAAAATTGCCCAGCATGTTTTGGGCAAAAGCGTAGGGATCTAGTAAATTGCCACTCTCTTTTGAACGACGTTATAGGCGCTAGAATAACGTACGGCCTGCATTTCGAAGCATGTTGACAATGCGAATAATTACTTGTTTGCGCACGACATGGCACGAGATTCCCTCATGACATCCATTGAGCCAATAATATTTGACCTTTAAGTGTTTCCAATTGGTCTAGTGGTTATTGTATGCTCGCCACTTAGATATGGGATCTGTTACGATTACCACCCACTCGAACAGGAACAAGACATCATGACGTAGGGATTCATTATGGGTTAGCATTTTCTTAGTCGACGCTTGATCGAACGCTCGGACGAGGCAAACAAGCTATCAGTCATTGTGGCAGACATTAAGGTCAGGTTGCTAAACAATCGTTATGCTTAGCGTAACGGTAATTTTCAAATACCAACAAATTTTGGCCGCCTCTTTTATAGCGAACAGAGGAGAAAATTCGCTTTCGACCAGGCAATCCATTGACTCCACCTGCCCTAACTGCCTTTGAAACGATAGAATTCAAAGAATCTCGGTCAAGGTTATTAAAGATGAAAGTAGGTATGAGTACACAGCCACGGATATGTTTTTCGGGTGACCTACTGAAATCGTTCATTTTCTGGCCGAAAACCACGAAAAACATCCTTTGACTTATACCTACGCTTTGGGCAGATACTGAACATTTCATTCTGTTATGTATCCACACAGTCCGGCTCAAATGCAACACACAACTGGAATAGTAGCAAACAACAATAATCTGCATCTTTCATCTTTCTTGCTCCAAGAGACCAATAGGAAAGTGTTATTGACATTAACTGGCAAGCATAGTTACTCGTATCTATAAAAAAAACTAAGGTTTTCTATCTATGTATCTATTTAGTTAGTCTCTCCTAATTTGACGGGTTCTATATCACAAACTTATATGGTGTTGCGGTGCTCCAGGCTTTTGAAGAAGGCTTGCTTCTCTCTCTCCCCTTACACTCAAAGGCTTTCCATCTGTACGCAGTGCTTGGAACGTGCGATATACTTAGGGAAAAGCTACAAGCTGCACTGCAAATCGCAGGCGGAAAATATTTCGACCCAGGAATGATCCTACCCTCGGTCCTGAAATAGATCTGCATGATGTTTAGGTTTGGTGGATCGTAGTTAAAGTCAGTTCATTCCGGTTTTTCGAGTTGTGGGTTAAAATGCATTCTTTTCTACGTGGTTATCGAACGATAATTACAACAACTAACTTAACTAACATCGTTTTTCTAAACTAAGAAGCATGCCTGGAAAAATGTAGCTTCTCCGCCTTTGGCCTAAGAGGCAAAAGAATACACCGTAGGGTTATGCTGGGTTAACGCTTGTTATTTATTTGGATCTAGGATGATGGTTTTTCATTTTCGTGGTGCAAATGTTCAAGTTGAGTCCTCAGACAGGTGACGAGGTTCTTAACGATCGGTTACATACAGTGTGGTTACGAGGAATAAAGTAAAGGAAAATAGGTATCCAAACGTTAGTCCAAAGGAAGTGATTCACTTTCCTTCTTCAGTAGGTCATGGTAATTCCAGCTCAATTGAATATTGCAGTTAATCTACCGGAGGTTAACGGGCAAATGGTGATAGCGATACCAAGGCAGGTGATGGCAAGGAGATATTGGACAAAGGTACAAGCGGAGGAGATCAGTGCAAAATGGAGTCGATGAAAACACCCCAAAGGTAAACTGAGGATATTTCAAATTTTCAACCACTAAATCCAGTACAGAGCATCGAACACAACTCCCCCAAAACAATTGAGCCAAATGGTAGAGGATTCGAGCTGAGCTATGTCACTAGCATTCAGTCCGCCGCTTTTAGACTCTGCTTTAGTGTGTTGGTCAAGAAGGTTGATAAGGGTAGAGAGCGGGATTAGATCGGAAGACCGTATTGGAGAGAATGGAAAAGCGCTCCAACTAACTGCCTGGGAAAAATAACGTTAAGGATTCCGAAAAAAGAACAAGGATGACACGCTAGAGTAGAAGAGTAAATAGCGTGGAACAGATCGTGAATTTCGGAAGTCGTCTGCGGGTTCTTGTCTAGTGGTATGGCAAATGGAGCATGGTAAAGGCTCAAATGGGACATGGTAAACGCACTTATGAAAAAATATCAACAATAGCGCACAAGAGGCATTACGACGGCGACATCAGGGGCCAAGAAGAAAAATGTCCACAACAGCAGCTTTCGTTGGAAAAGTTGGTTGAAAAGTGGGAAAATAACCAGTTGTCGATGTGTCGTTGTGACCAAAAGTGGGCCGAAGTAGTTGGTTGGAATGGGAAGAAGTACACAGGACTCAATTTAACTTAGCCTCTCTTACTTAGCACTAGGTACCAGAATTTGTTTTTTACAACGCCTACTTTATAGGAGTTATCAAAAGGTAAAAAGGTTTAAAAAAGACTGGAATAGCAACCATATAGATTTACGACCAGAACATCTATTCTAAAAGACAGATTTTAGTATATCGGATTTAATGAGGCATTGTAGGCATAGTAAAATATAAATGAAAGGAAATTATGTTAACATCACTTAAAATTTATGATACGAACTCTCGGCGGGAGCATAAATATTCGATAAACCACCTTGACATATAAGAAATTTGTAGAATTTGTCTTGTCTTAAACGTGACGCTTCATTTATGGGGTTGTTATCACACTTAGAGGGAAGCTCTTAACGAGATTTCTTTCAAAATAGAATCTAAGTGTATATGTTTGCTGTCTATCTATATTGAAGCTGACATTCTTGGTAGGCCTGTTCTGACAATAAATTTGTTGTTAAGTATGTCAATGTAGGATACTTGTTTTCAGCAATTAGAAATAGCTTTCGCGGAGTAGTTCGCTCACCTAAGTCCAGTCGCTTGCCCCGGTGCAACCATCGACGCGAACCGAGAATCGTCCGTTTGCTCCCCGAAGAACAGCGTCATCAACGACCTTCGCCGCAAGTATTTCGAATTGGACGGCGACGCACCCAGGTTTCCCGGAGTCCTTTCGCCATTTTCACAATGTGAAGGTCCAAATCAAAGACTAACGTCAATTCAGGCTCAAGTCAAACAATCAACGCCTTGTACCAACTGAAAAATAATAAACATCAACCTCTATGTGACAAATACTCGCTATGAAACTCAAAAAAGCACATGAACCAGGTAATAAGATTGAGAGCACGCTCAAAAGTGTCCTTCAGTTCTCGGGGCAACAAGGTTTGCCTAACCATTGCAGCTCGAATAAGGTGTCCTTAACGGAGAAAGGGAAGGCCCGGGGGCCCTTTCCACTATTCTGCACAACACATTTGACGCACGGTTTTTGAATTCGATTCCGTACGTTGCGAGCGAGCTGACCTAAACTTCAACGGTTGAGATCTGCTCGAACCGTTTGGATAAACGTATCAATTCTATTAGAGGTTCCGTTCGAAAACCTATTATCCATTCTAAGTGCCCAAGGCCCTTTAAGGTAACTTCTCTTACGCGTAGTTTGCATAAGAAACACACGCACAATTGGCCAGAGGTGATCTGACGGCCCGAGCACAGAGCGAACCGGTCGCTGAATGAATTTCGTTCTAGTGAGTGGATTGGCAAAAGGTAAGATAAGGTTAGGCTGCCAGCTACAATGCCCCGGATTCTTCGTTCGACTATGTAGCGTGGGCTAAAAAAGGAGAAACTCACCTGCAACGTCTGCACAGCGAGGGCGTCCTCCTCGCGCTCCTGGAGAGGGATCTTCGTGTGGTAGGCGATAAGCCAGATGGCGAGAGGTAACATCTGACAGAGTCCATGGGTCTGAAAAGACATCGGTAAGTGGTAAGAGCTATAAGGTAAACTTACGAGCTACTTACAAATGTACGACGGCAGGAGAAGGTTGAATGTACGAAAGATAGATAACATCATCTCGTTGCCGAATAATGCTACTTTCGCGTTTTTGTAGTTGGCTTACAATAATGTTTGCAATTGGGTTCACCTAATGATATCAAACACTAATTAGCTCCTGCTGTAGTTAGTGAATTATACACCTACAGATGTTATCCCTTAAAAGTACCTAAACATATGCATCTCATATTACCGAGAAAATTGATTTGTATAATTGCGACGTATAACAAGACAAACGAAATCAATGGATATAATACAGAAGGCGCTCAAGCCGCCGAATAACGGATGCTACGCGATAATAATAGCAATAATAACGTCTAAGTAAGTTTCAATTCGGCAAGATCCATGTGAACTTTGTACCGACAATGACAGCCAGATAGTTAGATTAAGAACCTAAATATTAGAACAGACTCCACAGAGGCCTTTTAAACAGCTAGTGTAACAAGCAAGAGCTGTGATCATCTGTCGCTGAGGCCTTATATATAGCCGGCTAACGACTGAGTTCCGTTTGACAACGAACCACATTCGAAATAAAACAAATCGTTTGTTTGTTTGGGTGCAGGACCGAAGCCAAGCGACCCTCTTTAGTCGTTCAGCCGTCATCTATAATTCCAACGAGAACATTCGCTAGTCGGCTCCTTCCACTTCTTATTGATAAGCATTTATGGTTTTAGCAGATGTGCATGGGACGAATTCTATTTGTCCAGCTTTACCGTGCTAGAAGATATTTCCATAGCAATTTGAGCCTTTTGGTTACCCCATCGTACACCTTTGCGATCCGGTATGCTGGCTTCTTCTTCGACTAGCGATTTCAAAAAGCATTGCAGCTTTTCCTTTACGATCCGGATGAATACGTCATTTTTCATTATAAGCTCCTTTTCGATTATCAACTTATAGAACGCCGAGACTCAATACATGAGATCAAAGCTGGCGAACTCCTTTAGTTGTAATGGCAACCGTGCCAACTAGGACGTCACAAACTATTTTTCGACTCCTTTGCTTGAGTCGTCAGACACGCCTTGTTCACGTTGATTAGCTTTTCTCGATACCCCATTTACTATTTGCCCATGGAAAGCCGTTGCTTTCACGGCCTTAGCGACTTCTATCACTTTGATGGTCAAAGTTTCACAAGGATCTCGTAGCCCTATCTTCTTAACTTCGAGAGTTTCGCGGGTTATCATGGCCAGTTCGTTGTTTTCTATAATTTGGATAAAATTTTGATACAGAAAACGGCGACGGTTGAAGCCTAGCCAAAGCTTGTCCAAAAGATCAACGCCCGATCAACGGTTTCTGAAAAAAGAGAATTTTTTGGGTATCGCTAGTTGTAGTAGGAATAACGCCATGGGGGGAGGGAGTGGTAGTGCACGAAGAAACATGGGTGAGATTTGTAGAACGATATAGACACTACAACAAATCAAAGTGAATCTATATGTGCCAAGGTTGTGTTGGGCGGCATAATTTACACGGTATTTTGGATGTTTTTTTCTCATATCAGTTGACTAAAATCCGCATCTTCAATTTTTTCTACGATAAATAATGTCTTAAAGTGAAATCTCCCACAAGCCAGTAAGCGCGCAAGGTAATAATTTGTCAATGAATAGCCATATATATATGAAAATAACTTTCTTTATTTATACCATTTGTACCAATTGTAGCAACATTGCATAAGAAAATAGTAAATTGAATAGTTGCTTACTTGCATTAAAAAATTGCACTCAAGTTTTTGTACTGTCAATTTTTACCTCGCCTTCTCAGAAAATTGATAATTTGATTTTTAACATTAATCGGAAAGGGTGACTCTTCACAGAAATAAATCTTTCGTTTATGTGACATATTTGTTTCCAGTTACATATAAGGTGGATTTATATTTCGGAAAAGTTACGTTTACAATGTAAACAGAAGTAGATGAGAAGCAAGATTTACCTTTTTTTTTTTTAACTACATATTTTGGCGATCTCTCATCCTGCTACCGTTTTTACAAGTAAGTAACTGACAAAAATCGAGAGATATATTATTAGATGATAAGAAAAATCTGCAAAGTATTTGCCGTCAATTAAAAAAAGGGGACTTGTTAATCTCCTGGTTAACTTCAACTCATAATCGTGAAATTAACCTACATAATTTTAGCAGCGAAGTGAATTACTCAGCGTAGTCCTGATCAGACATGTGAGAGAAGAAGGCCTTACCAAAGGCCATAAAGCAGGAGACTGGTGTTTTACTTATTAACCTAACCTTTTTTACTTCGTACTGCTCTACAATAGTGTAAACTTCATTATATTGTCATACTTTTCGTCGAAGAGAAAACATTTCAATAAGCACACATTCTACTTCATCAAAGGTACTATCCGAAAATATTATATTGAATTGTTGGTAAATTGATCTTTTGGGCAAAAGTGAACAAATAGTTCTCAAATTTAGTTAATAGTCATCAAACTTATATGACAAACAGTTATTAATAACTATTTGTTATTATTAAGAAGTTTCGATATAACTACTTCCGAGTTAACAAAACAGTTTAATTACATATTATATGTAATATAACATTGTCGCAGCGGCGGGGATGTACCGATTCTACAATAAGTGTACTAGACACAACCTAAAATAACTAGTTTATTTTTACTAGAGAGCCGCCGTTATAAGGACAAAGCAGAAGGAGGCTACCGCTGCCTGAATAGACATGACGACCCATGTAGTTCCTGGTCTAGTACTCAGATGACTGCTATCCTAATTACTATCTACATAACTTTTCGTCGTAATGATTTGAATTTACATTTGAAATCAACAAAAAAATATATATTATAATTACAGAAGGCATATAGTGTTAATCTTATAGTTGTAACATGGGTATTCAAAGAATAATTAGCAATCACATCCGTCTATCACCAATCTATTTCATGCGCTCCACTCGTACTTTCAAATTTTAATATGTGATTGATTTAAGTGGATTTGTTTGCTTGATGGCTAATTGATTATTGGTCAATGTATTCGTCTGCACAGCAAGTGATTTTAATAACCTATGCGTTCGTTCTACTTATTATGTAATAATCATTAGAATAATTAATAATACTAGCAATAATACTAATAATTAACAGCAACAACGATGGTTACTTATGTTTGGCCTCTGGCCTAGTGAATCCTGCTATGGGATACATAGCATCTAGAATGTAAATTTTTCATGAAGTATTTGGTAGTAAAATAGATTTCTGGGAAGAACACAAGCATCAATAGAAAAATAACGAAAGATAACAAAGAAACATCTCCTATGTTCAGTAAACTCGTACTATAATGAAACAATTTATTAGTGCGATACACGTGTTCAGAAAAAAAAAAAACATTTTTTTCAACATTGCGATTGTACACCGTATATTTTCATAACGTCAAAATTGCACAAAAACACGTCACAAGGGAATCTGGAAACATCAGCTGACTAGCCTTCGTCCGTCGGCTTTGTTCGCCATATTTCTTCAAGCATTCAGATTATTTTCCGATCTCTTTTCGCGCGCGACAGTTCAGTGTTTCACTGACATGGCTTCTAAGTAAAAACGGCCTGCCGTTCGATTCACTGCCACTAGCCTTATATAAAACGTATAATACAAATTGTCTAATAAGCATTTCTTCGCAGTTGAGAAAAGTGTCTCAAAACTCAGTTGTTTTTATTCTCTGTCAATAATATTTTTCATTATCGAAATTCCGATTTCTTTTAGCGCTGTTATCATCCCTGCTGCTTGTGTTGATTTTGTTTCTTGATAGCCTTCTCAACAAATATGTATATTTATATGAAGCATGCATGTATAAGTGTGACTCTTTGGATTTGTACATTCTTAACGGACCGTTGTCGTCATATTTTTTGTCTTCGTTTATTCGTCTGTCTACCTGCCTCTCTTCTTGCATTAATCCTAAATAATCAACCTACTCACCACCTCATTTATCTTTTAAACATGGACACAACTACTCGACTGTATGTCCACTTTGTCTTTTCCTTTCATTTGGTTAAACACCTTTATTGTACCGTCGCTCTCGTTGACTCGGCACCTCACATGTTAGCAGCCACTAATGTGCTTACTTAGTGATCTAGGATAATTTGTGTTTGTTCATTATTTAACCACGTTCTTTATTCTTCAATTTCATAAGCACCTTTTCCTATAGTCGACCTGGTGAATTTCGGCCTCAAGGTAAACACGTTATAAGAGTCACTCCAAAATCTCTAACTCGGCCGATATTCATTCCTCAGTCCAGCTAAAACGTGTAAACATTTTTTTTTTTATTATTTCCTATTAATAGTAAAATATTTGAATAGATTGTTTTTTCTTAGCAATCGACACGGTCGTTCAGATTCGTTGTAGCCCATGGCGATTGCTAAACAACAACGGATACTGACACTGGTAAAAGAACTAACGAAACGCGTAATCATGTAGTAATGCGATGACGAGCCAAATCTGTTCGAATTTGCTTACACTTATTTTAATCGGCGTTCATTCGACGAATTACTCGAGTAAAAATCTTTGAGCGGTAAACTATTCACTCTAACGAGCGGCTTAGATAGAAAAAGGCAGATCTTACGAACTTTTTCTGATCCTACTTCTGCAAATAGCTAACCTGAACTAACAAGTACAAAATAAATTGCAAAAGCGCTTTTAAGCGCTTGCAAAAGTATATTCAAACTAAAGTTTACTAACACCAATAATTCATCAGCCGCATAGGACGGATATTCAAGCGCTAAATTCAGCACTGTTTTTCTAGTAGTCACATGTTCTACACATACCGGCACACACACACACACATCCGCACGACATGCACGCGTACATAATTTCTGTTATAATTTTTATTATTCACTGGATAAGGTAACGAACAACATTAACTATAATGAAACATAGGACAAACGTTACCCTTAAATATAATTATGCTCTGTGCTGATGTATGCAATATTTCTGATATAAAGTGCCGTGATTGCACATATTGTATATGTCTGGTTCCGCGTTCCCGTCGCTTAATGCGCCACAAGTTATTACAACGGCCGCAAACATAGCCTGATGATGCCATCTCACTCCGTGTGCTAACCGTGTCTTGTTCAAAGATTCTACACTCGTCAGTCCAGCTACTTGTCTAACCATCTTCATTTGAACAATAACAAATTCCTTATTAACATTTGCTACCTTGACTACGATTGGAGAAGCGACTACCACTTCTAACTGCTGCTGGTATTTTTTCGTCAGACGATTTTGATATACATTAAGTCATCGTTGTCACTGTCTCCCCAGGAGGCATTTCTTGAACCAGAATGCGTTCTTCCGTAAAGCCGACCCATCATAGATTCTGTTTGCATGTTAATGACGAAAGGAATTAGTAGCGACAGGCGCCACAGGTTTTAGCCAGCGAGGTTTGTCGACATACAGCATCCGGTTGGCTTTAATTTTGAAGAGAAGGAACATAACCGATGGTGCCCAAAGAATCACAATAAAGAACAGCGTTTTGGGTTGCTCACGCGTAGGTCCAAGTACAATGAGCAGTGGTAGTAGGAAAACTAGTACGGCGAGTACAAGTGGTGCCAGAAAGACATCTGGCGGGAGTTGCGGACGACTCAGCTGGCGACGTGCGTCTATCTCGTCAAGGCGATGATTGCCAAGCATTAACTCGATTGCGTCTTGTCTATACGCACGAGGAGAACGACAAATTGAGGGAAAACGGAACAAACATATAATGTAAGGCCGTTAATTAAGTCTTACAGAAGTTTTCATTACCCAAATTATGCTTAATAAAGAAATCGTTTATAAAAGCTGCCTTAGTAGCTTTTTAAACTACATGTTATTGTAGATATTTGATATTCTTTAGCTGCGAAAGTATATTTTGTAACACTTCATCTTTTTATAGAAGTACTTAAAAGTGCATGCACGTGCTTAGTGTTTAGATTATTGGCAATCACATTCAGCTAACCGCTTCTTGAGTTATCCCTAAGAATTACCTCTGTCCGTCGAAAAAGTTGTTCTTTACATAGCGAAGACACGATCTATAACCGTCACGCATAACACCAAAAATTGTTCGCTTTCCCGTGCGAGTAAAATCCGCCTGTAAAGTAAATACGATCCAATGTGATCAATTAGTGTATAAGAAAAATGGGCTCACTTTACTAACAAAATTGAAATGACAGTAAAAATTTATATACATATAAATTTTTACTGTCATTTCAATTTCAAAAATAGGGTAGAATCTGCATATATATATATACA